TGTAGAGTAGAAGTCCAGCTGCAGTCCTTCTAGAAGGTTGGCAAGTGGTCAAGTGGAGTGACTAAAGCAAGCCCATGTTGGAGACGAGGACAAGTGGCAAGGGCAAATAGTAGGACCCCAGTGCGACCGCACTGCGTCGTAGGGTTGTCACTATGCAGTCATGGGAAAGTCTAGAAAGTACCAGTCCGGTCCAGCAAGTACCACGGGGGGGACTGTGTGCCTCATGGGCCAGGGATGCAAGGCAAACGAATGCAACACAGAAGTRTAAATCCAGAGGCTGCGTCCAGCCATTCATTTCATTCCTGCGGAAGCTCTGCRGAAGCGCTGCTCGGGCGTCTTGTGCAAGGGAGGTCTGCAGATGGCCTGAAGACGAAGTGGGCAGAAGTTAGTGATAGGCTAGTTAGCTGTTAGTGGCCATGTGCCATAGCCATAGACAGTTAGCGAGTGTGTATGTGTGTGTGCAGTGGTTGGCGTGCATGGTATCCAGGGTGATCCGGAGTCGAGTTGCGTGTGAACTCTGAGTCGAACGTGTAAGTGTGGGCGCCCAGCGCCATAGTCAACTGAAGTAAACTTGGATTTGAGTTGAGTTGCAAGCTACCATATCTCCGAGTTTGAGTTGGGTGCACAGCGCCAAGTTATTCTCATCTGTTGCATGCATGTTTGAGTGTGAATTTGCAAGACTGATTTCAATTCACAATAAATAATAATAATAATAATAATGGTGAATGGCTGAACCAAAATCAATGTCCGAATCCCTCTTCTACTGCAGGTACATCATGAGATCCACCATAGCCATGGCCACCCTTCTCCTTCCCGTTCCTGAAGGACTGCTAGGGCCTTGCCTTGACGTGCAAAAGACAAAGCAGCCACGGCTGCTCTGGCTCAGGTCGCCATGCCTGACTCTGCCTCGAAACTTCTTGATGTAGCTTTACCCCCAATGGGGCCTTCCAGATGCAGCACCCACCAAGGTGATGAAGATGGCGTCCACCATAGCCAGGTAAGTACCTCTGGCACTCCCCCCCTTCCTAGTCCTCATCTTCCTCCTCCTCCAGCCCGAGTTCCTCCACCATAGCCAAGGTGGGGAGCTGGGCGCTCCTTCCCCAGCAGTGCTGCTCCAGCCAGCATTCCAACCAGTGTGTTGCCAACTTGCACACCGAAGAATGAGGAGGAGCTCTTTGCTCCTCCAGGAGATATAGCGGCCTGCTTTCCTCTTGGGAGGTGACTTCCAGGCCGTGCGGCCTCCAAGCAACCGGTACCTCTTCCCCTTCGGAGGGAAACATCATTGCAGATGCGAATATTGCCCGTACAGGCCCTAGAGTCGGACTACTTGGACTGGTACCCGCCTAGACCTAGCCTACAACTACTGGGCCTCTAAAAATGTCAACTTTTGTCGTCTTCTGCTCGGCCTCCAGTCCCTGACCATTTTCCACTCCTTGAGTGGTACCGGCCTACCTGCTACTTAAGTGTTTTTCCTTGCTGCTCTAAGGGTCGCAGGTCTAACCCCGCTACTTGAGTGTTTTCCCCGCTGCAACCCTCAAAGTCACGGCCACAGGTAAGTACCGGCCGTACAGGCCATCCAAGCAAGCAAGTACCCTTGCGGGTCACACACAGACTCAGCCGACAAGCACTCAGACAGGCACGCAGACCAGCAAGCACGCACACACACAGACTTGGAAAACTCAGCAGAAAGCGGGAATCTCAGCAAGGCATACATTCCATTGACAAAACTCAGAAATCAGCTTTGCGTCTCAGTCCGCGATTTTGTGGGTTGTTGCACAAGTAGCAGGTAGGCCGGTACCACTCCAGTAGCGTTGAAAGTGTCGGGGACTGGAGGCCGAGCAGAAGAAGACAAAAATTGGCATTTTTTTAGGCCCAGTAGCTGTAGGCTAGGTCTAGGCGGGTACCAGTCCAAGTAAGTCTGAGTCTAGGGCCTCTACGGGCGATATCAGAGTCTGCAATGATGTTTACCTCCGAAAGGGAGGAGGTACCGGTTGCTTGGAGGCCGCACAGCCTGGAAGTCACCGCCCAAGAGGCAAGTAGGCTGCTATATTTCCAGGAGGAGCGAAGTGCTCCTCCTCGTTTGCTGCGTGCAAGTTTGGATGTCACGCTGCTGGAGCGGTGGAGAAGCAGCGTTAGTGTGCAGCGCTGTGGGGAAGAAGGGCGCCCAGCTCCCCACCTTGGCTATGGTGGAGGAGCCCGGCCTGGAGGAGGAGGAAGAAGGAGACTAGGAGAGGGGAGCGCCAGGGGTACTTACCTGGCTATGGTGGACACCATCTTCATCACCTTGCTGGGCGCTGCATCTGGAAGGCCCCGTTGGGGGTAGAGGTACACCAAGAAGCTTTGAGGCAGAGTCAGGCATGGCGGCGTGAGAGGAGGAGGCTTTGTGTTGTCTTTTGCACATCAGGGCAAGGCCCTAGTAGTCCGCCATAGTCTCGGCCGTCATGAAGAAGAAGGAGAAGAGTGTCCATGGCTATGATGGGCCTCATGTTGTGCCTGCGGTAGAAGAGGGATTTGGACATTGATTCTGAATCGGCCATTCATGATTATTATCATTATTATTTATTGTTTGAATAAAGGGGGGAGGAGAAAAAGAGGAGGAGATTGGTTGGCGAGATGAAGGGGAATTATCATTGGTCTTTGCTGATGTACATCTTCTTCTTCTTCTTTCCCTCTCTCTCCTCTCGAGTTCATTCATTTCTTTTGCAATTCGACGGCATTGTACTTTCTCGTGATTTTGCACTTCGAAATTGACCAGGATCATAAGATTGGTATCAGAGTGGAGAGTTGACTTGGCCGCTCCAACCCTAACCTGAGTGGGAGGGCTACCACTTAGGGTTAGGGCTGGAAGTTGAGGGAATTGGCGCAGCGTGGTCAAGCGAAGTTGTCCCCACCTGGTTAGGTCGTGTTGGGTCGACACTGGACCTGACCAGGTTGCTTGAGAGTAAGTTTGGGTGGCAAGACACTTTGAGAAGACTTCGTGGGACAATTTGGAGACGCAACAGTGAGAGGCACTCACACCTGGAATCTGACCTAAGGGAGACAATTGGCAACTTTAGAGCCTTCCTCAGGTAGGGGAGCTTGAGGGAGGTAGCCATTCCGCATCTACGGAATGCAAGTTGCTACTTTGATCTTCAGCATTGGCAGGGGATCCGGCATTGCACTTTGGTGTTGGAGTCAAACCCTCCTAGTAGATAGGACACTAGTGTAGGGATAGTGTTAAAGAGGTCAGGAGGACCATATCATAGGGGGGTGAGTTCTACTTCATCTCGAAGCTCAGGCCACTCAGGTAAGTGCGGTGCACCTATGGGATGCCCATATGTGTGTGTGCATGGCATTGATTGTCCTGTTGGGGTTATTATCGGTTTCTTTTCCTACTCCTCTATGGTTTTGAGTGTGTATGAGTATGCAAACTGCTTTGGACACCGTATCTTTCTACAGTGCTTTTTCTTTTTATCTCTGAACGGCTGTAGTTAGTAGGTTATCTCTGAAGCAGACAGTCCCTACTGCAGGTTCCCCAACGATTTCCTCCACCAGAGTCTGTGTACTAACATCCCTCCTACCGGGATCCCTTAAGACAATTTGCCACGTGGCATATGCTGTTGGTGACGCCGGTGTCCCGCGACGCGTGGACAGGGGTAGCGCCAGCCGTGGAATGACTTGCATGTTCGCGATTMGTGGYGGCAGCTTCGATASTGGTGCGCAATGATGGGGGAGGGCATGGAGGCTTCGATTCATGAGGGCCTGCGGGGAATCCCTCTTGACCTGCAGGGCGGGGAGGATGCGTCCGCGCTCTCTACTGTGATAACTTACAAGCAGCAGCTAGAGGAGATGTACGCGGCGCTGTGTCAAGCGGATGGAGAACTGCCATACGAGGTTCTGTTGGTGGGAGAGCAGACCTACGACGGGTGGGCTGATGAACTTTATGATCTGATCTCGCTTCGACAGCAGGATGCGACTGACAGAACGCGGGCGATGGCTCTTTTCTACGATTGCATGGAGATACTGCAGCTGGTTCAAGACACGTTTGCTGATCTTCTGGCGAGGGGAAGCGTGGGTAGTTAGCCAGCTATGAAGATGCGGACAGAATTGATAACATCAGCATCAGTGACAACGTCATCAACAACATCAATTTCAGCATCAGTGACAACATCATCAACAACATCAATCTCACCAGCGTCAGCGGCGTTGGTATTAACCACAACCACGTTATCTGTGGTTAACAAGGATAAAGTGTCAATACCAACCTCAGCCGTGGCCGCTCAAGTGTCAGCACCAATACCGACATCATCATTTGGTGCACCGATAACAATACATACTTCAACATTATCGCTTTCCAAAGGGGAGGCGTCATCAGTTAACACTGGTGCTTCACAACGGGAGTTGTTCGCGTGGGGTCGTGCAGTGTGGGGGTGGGAAGAGGGACTGCCCCTGCACGTGGAGATCATGGATTGGCCGCGATTGACTGTGTCGATGTTGGGCGGCTGTCAGATCCTTGAGGAGGGGCGAGGGTTTGGCGGCGTGCTTCAGGGGCGTCTCCAAGAAAACGATGGAGATTACTTCGCGCGAATACCTTCTGCGCCAGTAGCACCAACAAGTGTGATGATCGAATTAGCAACCGTGACACAATTGCGGACGATTTCCCTGGCCATACGAGTGTGTTTTGCTTTGTTCTTATCTCGCCCCCCTGCCGGGTTTTTGTGGGGAATGATCAGGGGCGAGATGGATGGGGGATCGTAGCGGGCAGGTGGGAAGTGGGATGGAGGCGTGTAGGGGTGGGATAGGGTGGGTTTCACGCTTTTCTCCTGTACTTGACAGTGGGATAGGGTGGGTTTCACGTTTTACGTTTTGCTCCTCCACTTGGGTAGAGACAAACTGGAGATGATGACGGGATTACCCATAATAACTGATTGAAACTTTGCTTGGCTGGCAGCGTGGCTCTTTTGGCGTAATTTAGCTGCCGCTGCCTGCTGACCTGGACGCTGCGACGTATATCTTGCGATTCCCGCTGCCACGTGGATACTCATCTCGAGGGTGCGTTATAAACGAGCCAAGTGGTGTTATAGGGGAAGTCACTCGTGCTCAGTATGTGGGGTGGACCACGTGGCTTACTGCTTTGGAAGTGGGATCGCGATAATTGATTTTGGGATCGCGATAATTGGTTTTCTATCCCCCTACTCTAATTACCCCCCCCCCTCGTGGTGTTGCACGTCTTATATTTGAGACGGGGGTTTCAGAATACGAATACGTTTTCGCATAGCAATGGGCAGTTAATCCCCTTGGTAGGAGGGCAATCAATGCTGCTCATTGTGTTGGAAAGGGCGTGCTTATGTGTTGCCATCATAACTGTTTAGAACGAGGGTAGAGACACGTGGCACGTTTATAATCTGGATGTTTGTAGGGACGCTGGACCCGATTTCCAGCAGGTGTTGCTCCCCACCAATAGATGGAGCCTTCCTGAGCGTGCTAGCGGTGTCTGCTCCTATCAGCACCTCTAGCACGTGTCCGGGCTGTTGTTGTTAAAAAAAAAAAAAAAAAAAAAAATCATTTTCCAGTTCGGTAGAGGCAGAATGTAGGTCCATGTGGGACTCCTCTTCGTTGGGACTCGGTCACGGCCTACGTGGGACCCTTAGGGTAGCCAGTGGGACCAGGCCCAAGCAAGAAGGCCCCCTTAGACCCAAACGTGTTTGAAGTGAGATCATTCTCCTTCTATCTGGGATGCAGAGTTTTACTCTTTGGTTGGAGCACTCACTGCCGAGGGGATCTCGGCTGAGACGTTTTGCGTACTTTTACCGCACAGTCCATGGCTTGGCTCACACCTTATACACCACTCAATTCTCCATTGTTGCATGTCGTTACTCGTTGTCTGAATTTGCTATACGTTCGTGGAACTGAATCAGAATGGGCTCGAGGGGATCTCGTACACGGTCTGATCAGGCTGAGATGCTGGACCAGAACTCTCATCTGAATTTCTTTTTTTTTATTTTTTTTTTTGGCTGCTCTTTGGTTCAAATGTCACGCCGCTCAGGCTACAAGTTCTACCTTCTCTTTCTTTTTGCTTTTTAGTCAGTTTCTTTTTCTGAGTTCATATTTCGATGCCCGTGGAGACTCATGGACAAAAAAAGGAAAGAGAGAGAAGGGAGAGGGAGAGCACTCATCTTGAGGGACTTGCTGAGTCCTTTTCCGGAATGCCTGCTGAGAACCCCGGTAGTTTTAACATCACAGCAGTACAGGCCTTTGTGGCCTTAAAGGACCAATTGTATGTGGCTGACGAAGAGGACAAACCTTTGTTCCAGGTCCTCTATGACAAGGCACTGGCAAAGGAAGAGAAGGCAGAGGAGGAAAAGCGGAAAAACGCTATTACGGACCACGGGGCTGTATTCAAAACAGTCCCCTCTTCGCCGGACTCTGAGGTCAAGAAAGACCTAGTCACATACGTACGTGCTTTTATAGACTCTCATTTGCTCAGTGAACTTCCTGGTCAAGTATCCAAACTATCTGACCAGGCAAGTGAACTGCAGACGCAGATCGTGGAAATGGCCAAGGAGCATAGTGATCAGATGTGGCAGATGGTAAATCTGCATCAGGCCCAGGTCCCTAATTCTCGTCCTCTACGTCCTGCCTCCAATGCTGCTAACCAGTCTGTCCTTGCTCCTCTCGATGTCTCTTCTTCTTCTTCTCTAAGTGTGGTTCAATCGGGACCTGCAGTACCTGGGGACCCCGTTGTTGCTGCAACAAGCGTCAACACAAGGATTTCTACAGCTGCTGCAGCCTCGAGTTCAGACACAGCATTTGCTGGTCGCAGCTAAAAACAGTCCCTATGTGGACAGGAAGGCGGTGCAGATACCGTCTAACTACGACGGCAAGGAAGACGTAGAGTCCTCAATCAGCTCCGTGAGAGCCTACTTCGAGGTGCTGGGAACTCAACTTATGAGCCAGTCCTTGATCATGGGGACGAACGTCGAACCTGCCAAATAGGGCTTCTTAGAAGTCCAAGCTATGCAAGCTTGGTACACTAAGATTAATTCGACATTCTGGCTTAAAGCCACGCCCGTAACCACACTTAAGGATATCTTGATTAAGCAATACAAGGACCCACACTCTGCTGCAAGGATCAGGAACAATCTTGATGATCTCAAGCGCAGCAAGTGGTCGGGCTTCATGTATAACCTGCAATTGTATGTTAGCAAACATTTTGCTACTCCTGGATGTTGTGAACGGTTCCCACGACTTCACACATTGCCTAAGGAGAGACCTCATTGGGTACAAGGATTGGCTTTCCCTCATGCAAGACGTAGTCAGTCTCGAGGCACAAGACCTCGTTTCCACAACAGGCAGCAAAAAGCCTACAGGCGGCATGCAATTTTGAGGCAGCAAACATTTTTTTGTGCATGACCTGGTGGAGCCTAAGGAGGAGGCCTATGATGATGACCCCACTATTGATGACAACCAAGAACAAGACGCTAATACAACATGTTCCTCGTCAGCCCATGAGTCTGACATTAATAACGAAGAAGAAAAATTGTCTGTTAATGTGAAGGGACCAAACTGGAACACAGGAAAGAACTTCGTCGTACTTCTCAAGGGCGCCAAAATCCTATTCAGACCGGGGGTCCGAGGCTACCGCCCGGTACTAGGGAGTTTGCGCTACAGCACGAGAAAGAGTTAGCTACCGTGATAGAAAACCTCAGGAAGGCCCAGCACCGAATGATAGAGCAAGCTAATAAGCATCGTCGCCCGTCACAGTTTCAAGTAGGCGACTTAGTCTCGGTCAAGTCTAAGGAGTTTGCCCTGAGGAGAACATCTCACAAAAGTTACTGCCCTCGTATAGAGGACCGTGGTCAGTTCTAGAAGCCAAGGGCGGAGAGGATGGGCCGTCCTACACAGTCGAGATCCCAGCACACCTCCACACCTACCCTGTATTTCATGCATCCAAGTTGTTGCCCTGCACAATGAGTGATCAGTTCCCATCGAGGAGGTCCATGATCCCTCCGGATATGGATGGCAGGTACGACATTGATGGCATCGTAGGTGAAGATGTGTTCAGAACAGAAGGTAGAGGTCGTGCACAGAAACAATACAAGGTCCGATTTGCTTATCAGTAGCCAGAGGACGACCTCTGGTTTACAAGAACTGAACTTCGAGAGACAGCTCCCGACATAGTTAGAGCCTATGAGAGAGATAAGAAAGGAAAAGGTCTTGCCTTCGACTGAGATATTCTCGGAGGACCTCGAATTTAGGCCGGCGGGAGTGAAACGGTTTTCACCTGTCAGCAGTAGCGAGTGCAGATCCCAGGGCTCGATCCCTAGTATCCGTGTTGACCCCGAGTGTTTGAACCCGTGACCTGTGTTTTGACAGTTGTTGTCTGTCGTAGGTCGGTGTAGGGGTAGGGGTTCGATCTATAGACCTGTCAGATAGGAGTCCTAGTGAGTTCTAGAAGTCGTAGCTGTAGCCTGTCCGAAGGGTCAAGGTCGTAGCTGCTACAGTCCTGAAAGGTCAAGGTCGTAGCTGCTCCAGTATCGAAAGGCCAAGTCTACAGACTTCCGGAGGTGGCCTTTCAGAGTAGGCTCACGTTGGACAGAGGCAAGTGGGCAAGTGGTGGAGCCAACCTCAGTGTGTTGGCAGTGCAACTGCACTGAGGTTGCGGTCCAACCCCATGCAGTCAGCGGTACGGTCCAGTCAGTCCCAGTCCAGTCCAGCAAGTACCATACGGGACTGTGTGCACAATGGGCCGATGGAAAAAGGGCCAGACCAGCGAGCTACAGAGGTATAAACCAGGAGGCACCGTCCAGTCATTCATTCATTCCTGCGTAAGCCATGCCGAAGCGCTGCCATAGCGACTTGTGCGAGGTGGTCTGCAGTGAGCCCGAGGACGAAGAGGGTGAGAGGGAGATAGCCATAGCGATAGGGTAGTAGCGGCCATAGCCGCCATAGCTGTAGGTGTGTGTGAGTGTGTACGCGAGGGTACAGAGCATTGCGTGTGGGATATCCAGGGTGATCCTGTGTGCGAACAGCAGTGTTGAGTGAGTGACGACAGAGAGTTGTACAGGCGATGTGCCGCCATAGCCAGTGGAAGTGAACTTGTATCTGAACTGAGATCTTGGCACTATATCTCTCAGTTATGAGTGGGCGCCTGGCGCCAGTTTGCTGCGCAACCTGTTTGCGTACGTGTGAAGTGTGAATGAATGCGAGTCTGATTGCACTGGTATCAGAGCTGGTACCCGCTATCTCACGCGCCATCGCCGTTGTAGCAGGAGAGAGACGTGCGCCATAGGGCGCCATAGCTGGAGTGCGCCATCCTGAAGAGGAAGTCCGCCATAGCTGCGCTGCGGAGGAGGGTGACGCGTACCTGCACAAAGGACA